CCCCATAAGCTGACCTAATCACAAACTAATGCATCGATAATGCCACCGTCACCGACGCTGGAAAAAGCATACCTATGTATGAATTATGAATCCCAATTTAAATTTGGTGGTTAACTTATGTGCTCCATAGAAGTAAGCAAAGCAGTACCTGATCCACTCATTGCATTGAACACTGCTTATGACAAGTAAAAATTTTGTGAAAAGATATCTTGGAAGACAAATTAGGAATACTCAAAAGTGAAAGAGAGCAAGATTGTTGCAATGGAACATATCTATGATCATCTATTGCACTGATATACTGTAAAACCCTTATTTATGGCAGAATGCATGTATCACTGAACTAGTATATATATATTTGTTTAGGGGCCAGCTGAAGGACGCCTCCGGGTGCGGGAATTTCTCGCTGCATTGAAGACCTGTTGGTGGCCTTCTGCTGTTGTCTGTTCTGTGGTCGGGTTGTTGTCTCTTTGACACATTCCCCATTTCCATTCTCAATTTTATGAAGTCCTAAATACTATATACTTCTTTAGAAACCCCTGTTGGATGACTGTCTCATATCAATAAATCAGTAAATACATAACCTTTGGCTGAAATCCATTCAGTGGGTTGAAAATGGTAACAAAACTGAAGATATATCACTATACAAGGAAATGTCCAAATTTGAATCCTTGAATGCAACCTTATTAACACTTATCATGCTGAATTGTTTTCCGAAAATGTATAAATGAGCTGTACCCTACTGCTGCTGCGTATTGATTCCATTAAAGCTAAGATAGGGGATCACTGGGCAGGGTGGTTGGGGTCAGGGGATGGATGGGTGGGCGGGCGGGAATTTGCCCCAAAGTTGGTCATCATGTGCAAAAAGCATCAATTTTGACGATTTTTCGTCCTATTTCTTGAACTGGAAGACCGAGGGATGCTGATAGATGTATCCAACTGTAGTCTGCATGAAGAGTGGACCCCAGTGAACATATTAACCACAACAGTTCTAAGGAGGGAGTGAATCTCATCTGGGTACAGCAGTCTAAAGAAGGTCATTTGCACAAAAAATTTGGAATTTCCCGATTTTTTTCTGATTTTTGACTTCAACTGGACCTGCAACCAGAAGTAGTCGTTTCCTAGGCGTATTTCAATAATAAACACGATCAGTAGTTATATGCCTGCGGGTTTATACTATTTTTGGAAGTTTAAGGCCACTGAACTTCGTGTGTCAGACATTGAAGGGAAGCCCACCCTTCCAAAAAACCCAGTTTTAACTGATTTCAATTTTCGAAGTTCGTATTTGAGCTCAAAATGAAAAGTAAGGTTGATGCATAGTCTTGGGAATTAATGTCATACAGTTGACTTCTAAAAGTATGGAGAGCCATTGAAGCCAAATAACAGTATTTTGGGGAAGACTGTAATATTACCGTCCTTGCATGGTAAGGGTTAAAAACCCAAAACCCAACAAGTTCAGTTTATAAAGACAATGAAAGATTTGATATAAGTTTTGATGGAACCTATTTAGTGGTGTAAGAGAAAGGATCAGATATATAAAATCAATGAACAGAGGCAGGGGGTCTACTACTGTAATCACTAGCCAGTCAACACTGAGGTTGTGAGTTCGAACCCCGCTCATGCGGGTGCACTCGACTCCAATCTTAATTGACTAGGATTGTCAGTTTTCCTATCGAAGGTCGGTGGTTTTCTCCAGGCACTCCGGCTTCCTCCACCAATAAAAACTGGCCGCCACGAAATAGCCCAAAAGCGGTGCTTAAAAGTGGCGTTAAAACACCAAAAATCAATCTATTTTAACTTGTGCCTAAATCTTATCTGACGAACTCAGAGAGTAAAATTCAAATAAAGGTTGCATAGCTATTTCACAAAGTGATAGGCTGTAATTAACAAAGCGAGCTGAAATTGGACATAAGAAATCAATAACAAAATAAGCTCACAATGTTGCATAATAACATATCCTCAGTTAAAAAAATGACTCTTTTAACCATCTTTTTCAAATCTAAATAAAAATGACAGATTGAAAATAAAAAAAAACTTCATATGTTTGACTGAAATTTAAGATTTCCATGATCCTCAAAACAAGCAAACATTTAAAATATTTATCTGAATATCAAGCGCCACTTTTCATTAAATACTTTTAAACCTTGAGAGGATTTGGTTTGCTTCAATGCCTCTCCATAATTTAAAACTAGTTTGGTTTTAAAATCTATTTGATATTTTTTCCATACAAAAGTTATAATCTTTACTTTTAACAAAATTTAGGTGTTCCTCATTTCTGTATTTGCAGACATCAGTCATGGGATTAATGGTTGCAAATAACTTTTACTGGCAATGCATCAGCTGTAAATATTCCATTTCACACATTTGAATATAAAAAAAAACATCACAAAATGACCATGAAGGACAAGTTATCATAACTTGTTTATCTAAATTTCACAAAATAAGTTATTTTTTTAAACTATTATGTGATTCAAAATTTTAATCAGTTTTGAACATTAATAAAAGGAGATAAAAGGTTATATCAACATGAGAGCACCACAACAATACAATAAAACTGCTGGAGCCTGAGATGTCAAGGTCTCATGCACCATGTAAACTGCTGTTTAGATGATTGGAAACTGATACAAATGCATACTAAATATTACAGATTTGTAACAGACAGGACTAAAACAATTGTTTGGGAATATTTCAAATATCATTCAACTTAAAATGCTGTGGATTTCTATTACTGTAATCTAAAAAAAACACATATATCAGAAATAAATCTTTAACAGTATAGTATCCACAGAAAGGTAATGACTCAGCATCATGATACAGAACCATTTAAAATTTTTATGTTGTCAAAAAAACTCCATATACTCTTTTCTGTTATAATGTTTATTAAAATTTCATAATTAGTTTTTCAAACAAAAAATCCAATTAAGCCAATATGAAATTTTATCAAGCATTATTCCGGCAAATGTAAATAATTAAAGTACAAAGTAGTATATACTATATAACTTATTTCCTGAATACCTGCTGTAACAGTGGCAGATCCAGGGGGAGGGTTCCGGGGGTTGGAACCCCCCTTTTTTTTCTGTCGATCAATGCATTTGAATGGGGACATATGGTTGGAACCTCCCCCCCCCCCCCCCCTTTGAAAAATGGCTGGATCTGCCCCTGTGTAAATATCACTTCCAATTTTTAACCAACTTTTTCAGAAGTCAGACATGGACTTTGATGGTAGCAGTGAATATTGATATACAGATGTCCACTTATAATAAAACAATTGATAAATACTGTAAACCAACATATTTTGTAGATACTTTATTTTGCTTTTAGCCCTTCACACACATTTATTTTCACAATTTTTAAATCTCATTGATGTATTCATATAAGGGAAGGCAGAAGTTTTCCATAGTTTCCCCCATTTTTCTACTGGCAAAAATTAGTTTCTTTACAGGAATTTAAACTAGTATTGAATTTTCAACATACAATCTCTTGAATTTAACAACACCTAATAAAAGTTAATCTCTAAAATTACAGAATATTTCCTGTTTGAAATATATTAAGTTTCCTGATAATGATCATATTAAACATGCTTGCTTTGTTAAGATGCTGACTAAATTCAATTGTATAATCTATGCATGAATTGGAACTGACATACATATTTCTTAGAAAGGGTGTAATAATTCAAAATCATCAGGAAACAATTTAAACTTTCAAAATAATGACAGTATTGTTCACAATTCTGATGTCTCTCTTTTATCAAATTCACAGCATGATTTGTGATATAAAAAGACCTAAAATAACAATATCGGAGCTCACCAGGATATTCTTACTGATATAAGAACACTTAAAAACATAACTTTAAAATTTTCTCGCATGCACTGTTCAAAACATTTTTTTAAATGAAATAATTTTTTACAATGGTTAATATTAGACTGACATATGACATAAGATTGAAATCTTTTTTTTGTCCAAACCAAACTTTATCAAATCCTGAAGACAATCCCTGTATTCAGAGAGTTTTATATCCCAGAACCTAATTTCATTTTCAGAAACCCATGTATTATATGCAAACAATAGGTATTCAAGGAGAAAGGGGTGCGTTTTACTTTTCTGTATAAACTTTGTCAAAATACGATATTCCCGGGCTTGTATTTCCTATGATGATTTCCTTGATAGAGGATTGCTGCTCACAAGGAAGCTTTTAAACCAAAGAGTTCCAAATGGTGAAGTTGAAATCATCCCTTCTTAAATTTTACGGACGCCATCACGAGTTGGTTGACCGTTATTAAATAACCATTTCACAGATGATATTGGATATGTTCCTTATGTTGTAACTACAATACCCTTCCCTTTTCACGAATGTGACCTACCGAATTAGACTATTAACCGGATTTGTAATAACATAAGCAACACGACGGGTGCCACATGTGGAGCAGGATCTGCTTACCCTTCCGGTGCACCTGAGATCGCCCCCAGTTTTTGGTGGGGTTCAAGTTGCTTAGTCTTTAGTTTTCTATGTTGTGTCATCTGTACTATTATTTTTTTGTTTGTCTTTTTATTTTTGGCCATGGCGTTGTCAGTTTGTTTTCGATCTATGAGTTTGATTGTCCCTCTGGTATCTTTCGTCCCACTTGTGTACCCCTTTCCCAAATAATATTTAATATTTTTAATGTATTTTTAACTGGAAGGCATCAACAGTCAATCTAACCACTTTTCAGGTCATTTTGTCTTGCTGACTTTTTTATTAGATGTACTTGTTTTATGTGAAAGTAGTTTGACATGGGATGTTTTGGTGGTACTTTACTAGGAAAGGAAAGTCCCTTTTGTAAAGTGCTATTATGCAATATAATATTTGAATGTTCATGAAGTATACTTATGGCAATAATATTAACACATTTGATTTTTATTTTTCCCCATGACAATCAAGCACAGCAGGTTATTCTTTTCTATTAAATATTTGTTTGTTTGCTCATTACAGCCAAAAAACAACAACTTCTCATAGAGGTACTCACTTGACGAATTTGTTGACATGTTGCATGGAATCTTCATAATTTTTACCACCAACTTCTTGACAATGAAGTGCAAGTAATCCTGGCTGGTAATGCTGTACAGTCTACAAATCAGGAAATAGTACACATTTTATAGGAGAAAGTATAATTTATTGGCCCCTGGAATTGCACAATGAGTATTTTTGTTAATTATTTCAAGATAACATTTATGCTAATTTTATTGTTGAACCTATAGAGTGATGCAAGTTGTGCAGAAAAATCATTGTGACAAATTACATGTAGGTCATATTAAATATAGTTTCAATAAATAAAATAAAGCCCTACCTTTTCAAATTTGATATTTTTACTCATATCAATATCATTGTACAAAACAGCTTGTAGCAAAAAACATTTTTGGGTACAAGGCTATTGTTCATATCTAAATGTTAAGTTTTTAAAATGATAAAATTTTTGAAGTTTTTGCCATGTTCCATAAGATATATTTAAAAATGCTACAAGTTTGTTCTACAACAAATATATGCCAGATAAAAACTTGAATAAGTTATAACTGATGTCTTAAGAACAAACCTGAAAGACAAACTTCATTACTAATACTCTGTGATTTTCAAATATGTCAGGGACAAAAAAATTTGCCTCTTCATACACTTTCTTGCCACTTTCAAACTTTATACAGAATTATTGTACTGCAGTCAGGCAAACCATGTTTTTTTTTTTTTTTTTTTTTATTTCAAACTGCAGATACTGTCAAAAGAAATTGGTAAGAGGGTACATGGCACATAAGTTCTTTTTAATGCTTGCAATGTTTAAAAGTGAAAATAAGTTAACTTTGTACATTCGTTTCCTCATTATATATTTATTTCAAATTCAATACTTTCTTTTGCAGGGGGTTCAAATATGAAATGGACCATCTCTTTCATTTTCACAATAGTTATATATTCTGAAACATTTTGAAGAAAGCTGTTTCTATCGCATCATCATTTTTTTGTCTTTTCCACTACATTTTTTGTACTATGTACATGTTGTAACATGATATTAACACAATTATGACCACTCGTATGTTATGTGTACATAAAGGATGCACAGAATAACATTTAAAAAAACACATTACAAGACTAAGAGCAAAAGCATATACAAAGGTTAAAGGAATCTGACAGATAAGTCTAAACAATATTCCTGGTGAGCTCCGATATATTTTTATTTTAGGTCTGTTCTCGTTAGAATAGTTTCATTTTACAAGTTGGGGCCTTTTATAGCTGACTAAACATATGGGTTTTTTTCATTGTTAAAGGCTGTAAAGTGACCTATGATTGCTTTTATCTTCGTCATTTAAACTCTGGTGGATAGTTGTCTCAAACGACAATCATACCACATCTCCTTATTTTCATATCAATATTATATAAATATGTTATTAGTACACATATGAACACATACATGCAAGTGCTTTAGTCAAAACAAATAAATATTTGTATATTGTGTAAATCCCAAGCTGGAGATATTAGATAACGCTGATGACAAAAACACAGGGTCTCTATGCCAACCATAACTATCATGTACAATTACTTGCCAATTTATACAAATAATCATAATTCATATAAAGATCAACATTCCCTATTAATTTGACTTGCAACTTTTTATAAAAACTAGATATTTCAACTGTCTAACAAGATGAATGTAAAATCTTCTCAAACGCATTATGGGCAATTCAAGGAAAATAGTTTAAAACATCAAGTATTAATTACCTACATGTAATTTACTGATACATCTGCCCAGTTGAAATACATATCAATGAAACTGTACAGGAAATCAGAACATAACAGACAATGTTTTTTTTCTTTAATCTTAATCATACCAAATCTTCTTATTTTTACAATGACTTGTGGAGTATGATTACAACCCCAGCAATCAACAAAAGGAAGTTGAACAAAATAAATATGTAAAGCAATGGTAAGCACAATGCTTCACCCATTTATTTGCTAGACCATAACAAATTTATTCTACATTTTTTCAACCCCATTTGGTAGAGGGATAAGGATTCACGACTAATAATATTCACTGAAACTATTGCATGTCACCAGTGTATCATTCCACCTCTTTATAGGGGAATCAGTCCACTAGATCAAGTTATTGCAATGTACAAAAAGTGTCTACAGAGGGAAGATGGTGACAGAAAACAACCACACATTTGTCTATTGCCTCTATATCTTTGTTCTTTGCAGATGAAAAAAAATAACATTTTTTTTTCATTTTAAGACCACTGATGACTTAGAAACTTAGAAAAGAAAAAAAATCAGAAATAAATGTAGTTCTTTTCTGAAACAAAATACGAAGCAGAAAATCTGAACATTATGTTGAAAAAATACACATAAAATTTACACCCGTCACCAATTTAATTTACAAAGTTAGAACAGCTTAGTACTTAAAGAGACATGCTATTTTTTTTTAAATATCTTACAATGAGATAATCATAAGATAAATTTTGTAAGTTTGTGGAGGATAATTTTACTCTTCCAGGAAGACACTTCAAAATCAGATTACAAATTTCCTGTAAAATTTGATATCTCATTGTGTCAAACACTACTTCGAAAAGTATGGAAATAAACCAGTGTTTTCCCTAGAAATTATTTAAAGGATGGGGGATTGATTGAATGGATGGTGGTCAAGATATTTAAAGGAAGGGGGATTACAATGAGTTATGGTGAATTCCTCAAATTTTAAAGGACAGGGGCCCATAATAAAGCATGGGGGCATGCACCACCATTAATAAAACCTCTTGAGAAAATGCTGTATACATGTCACAAATTTGAAATATTTGAAGAAAATTTTGATGTTTTAAAATATATTATTTTATCATTAAAACTGTAATTAGATTCTTCAAAAACATGAAGTTATCAAGTATTATACATATCCAGTACCCCTTTGAATAGCTTGCTTTTTACTTATCACAAAAATCCTCCTACACATCATTTGTTGTTTATATTTATCATTTTGATCTTCTTATTTCATTCATCATTAATTTAGGGTTTTAATCCAAATACATGATCATTATATATTACAACTTCATTATTGTCAGATATTGACATCCTTGACTTTTTTCATGCAAGTTTTTAAAATATTCATTCACTATTGTTAAAAATGTCTGTTCTAGTTTTGAAGTTTAAAGTTTTATTTGGAAGTTATTTGCATGTACATAAACAGAAAAAAAAATGTAATAATTAGGTCTGAATATAATGTTGTCACAGATATATGTCTGGGCTGAATGTAAATACAAATGTTGAAATTTTAATATGGCAATACTTTAAAATGTGAAAAATGTGAACAATGCAAAACATTCAAATCAGGAGCCTCTAATTCAGTGGTTGTCATATCATATTTGTTTTTCACTTATTGTTCATAAATCGTACCTTTAGCTTTCTCTCTTGAATTGTTTTAAATTTGTCCTTGCAGGGCCTTTTAGAGCTTGCTATGTTGTATGAGTTTTTCTCATTGTTGAAGACTGTATAGTTCCAAAGTCAATAGACAATGACTGAGGTGTTAGGATCAAATAACCTAATAAGAAATGAGGTGTACTAATGCTTATACAAAAACATACCAAGTATTATGGACTTAAAATTAGTGGTTTCCCTTAAACTAACATATTCACAAATTGTTGATGCTGATGTCGCGGGAAATAACTCGCTGAAGTCTTGCCTCCACTACTTGTAGAGAGACAAAAATCATGCATCATATTAAGTACCCTATAATGTAAATTTTTATCTCCCCATCCCCTACTCATATGTTGATTTCTTTTTTAATTACATCTTTACATGTATGTGTAGGTGGAATATAACAGTACATCCTAATGCATCTAAAAAATATTTAAATTCTCTTGAACAAGGGATGAAAAAATATTAATTTTGAATCCTGTAAAATTGCAAATTTTTCATCATCTGCCAAGGTATCCAATCAAGAAGACTTATCTCTGATATTATCATATATTATGTTAAACAGTTTCCATGCAAAAGTTATACCCAGACGTGTGCGAGACTCTCATGGGTAGTCAAGGTCGTTATACACCCCCGTAGTAGTATGCAGAAGTAATCTATTAGCAGTAAGACATCCTTAAAATATATCTAGTTCAACAAATAACTACTATATTTCTTCATCACAAAAACGTTATTTACTCATAGATTCATTTCAAATTAGATTTTAGTTATTGGCTTTACGGTGTATGATTTTTGTATAACTCACTTGAAATCGTGACTTTCTCATGTTATATAATGTGTAAATTTTTTACAAACCTTCAAAAATTCCCTCAGCCAAATCTTCAGCATATGATCAGGCTAAAAAATAGAAATATAATAAGTTTATAATCGTACTAACTAAACAGACAGATCAGTGCAGAATTTTGACAGTACATGTACAACATACAAGACAATTCTAAATATACAAATGAAATTTTTTACAACTTACTAGATCAAACATGAATAGTGACCTATGTCTTTTTTTTTAACATAGGTATAAGAATTTCTAATGGTATTCTCCATGCATGATTGTGATAAATGGAACAACTTTTCATTTCTTATTGTTAATTTTCCTTTCCTTAATCATGATGTTCAATTGACTCCTTTTTGTGGAGTGGAAATTTTCTTAGTTGGTCAAAGTGCCAATGTTTTTGGTGACATCTTAAATTTCAATGAATGTTAAATATTTTCATCAGTAAAAACATTTACGGCAGGGATAAAGATATAGAAAAGTAAAAACTTTTACTAAAATCAAATAATGATATTCAAATTTTGATAACATACAGAAATTAAGCATTGAAGTACAAAGCATGGTATGTTAAATTTGACATCACAATTTAATATACCTAGCTTTGTTCTTCAGTGCTTAATTTCTATATGTAAATTGTCCTGATGATGCCTGCCTGGCAAGCGAAACTTGTCAACCAGCACTTAAATAAAATTGCAGTCTCTTTAAGTATTGTTGTTAAATTGGTACTTTATTTGATAACATTTATTGACAATCCTGCATACCAAGGTATTCACTTCATGGGATTTTACCAAAAGTAGACTCACTAGCACTGGTTCACTAGATGCAGTTAAAATTTGAATTATCTAATTTTCTTTCACTTTTAAATCATTACAAAGTAACCTGCATACTTTTAAGATATAAGCATTGTAGTTTACCATATGTTTTCTAATGATCTTTAATTTAGCGAAAAGTAAAATAAGAAAAATACCAAACTCCAAGGGAAATTCAAAACGGAAAGTCCTTTATCTGTTTATAAAATGGCAAATCAAAAGCTCAAACACATCAAACGAATGGAAAACAACTGTCATATTCCTGACTTGGTACAGGCATTTCCTAATGTAGAAAATGGTGGATTAAACCTGGTTTTATAGCTAGCTACATGTATAAAGGAAATTATTCTTTGAATTTTAATCTCAAAATATATCCTTATTTCATAGATAATGTAGTAAACATGGTAAATGACATTAAATCAATTATCAATGCAAACTAAACTAAGGATATCCATATGTTAATAATGTTACAGTCACTTTATTATTGCTGTTCGCCTATTCTAAGTGGAATTGAAATCTAATAGGATTGAAGTATGCTTTATTTTGTCACTTTATGCATTGATGACTTGACCTTGGTTCTTTAACAGCAAAAAGTTAAAATTTCTGACCAGTTGAACAGTTGATCGATTTAATGAAAAAAATTGCAATTTGGTCAGAAGTTTTAATGAACTGCAATAGGTGGACAGCAACACATACAATGAAGTCACAGTTAATAAAGGTCAAAATTCAAAGTAGGTATGGATTTAGTATGTTCCTTCATCGTCAAACTTGATGCATTAACTGACTAAAGATCATTCTAATTTCCTGTAAGATATTCAAATATCTTCACAGGCATGAATTAGTCTATCCCCTTTTCATCTTTGTTGGTCGAGGGGATTATTGCATGTAAATAAAATTGAGAATGGAAATGGGGAATATGTCAAAGAGACAACAACCCGACCAAAGAGCAGAAAACAGCCGAAGGCCACCAATGGATCTTCAACGCAGAAAGAAAATCCCACACCGGGAGGTGGTCCTCAGCTGGCCCCTAAATAAAATTGTGTACTGGTTCAGTGAAAATGGACGTCACACTAAACTCCAAAACACATAAAGAAACTAAAATTTAAAAAAACATACAAGACTTACATAGGCCAGAGGCTCCCGACTTGGGACAGGCGCAAAAATGTGGCGGGGTTAAACATGTTTTGTGAGATCTCAACCCTCCCCCTTTACCTCTAGCCAATGTAGAATAAAGAAACACATAGCAATACGCACAGTAAAACTCAGTTTAAAAGAAGTCTGAGTCCGATGTCAGAATAGGTAAAAAAAGAAACTAAGCAAAATGACAATGATACATAAATTAACAAAGGACTACTAGCAGTTACTCTCTTGAATGCCAAGCAAATGACTTACATGCAGTCATTACATTTTTAAAATAACTTCATAAATATTTAAATGAAGGGGAAAAAAACCTACTAGCTGCCTTAATCATCATTTACGTTAGGCAACATATGGTATAACTTATACATTTGTTGAAGATGTGTAAATTTTCTCAACAAATCTAAAACTTTAACTTAATTAATGGGGAATGTGTCCAATGGACACAGATGAAGCCCCCGCTTGCATATAATGTTATAAAGGGACATAACTCAAGAAGTGTAAAAGTGACACTACCCAAATTTGTACTTTTATCTAAGTTTTGTGGTAATAAGCATTGTGTATAAGTTTCATAACATTTGGTTGAGACAAACTAAAGTTAGAGAACAGAAACAAAAAATTCAGCAATCTTTCCATTTGTAAAAGGGCATAACTCTAGAACGGTAAAAGTGACGCCACCAAAATTCAAACTTGATCTGTGATTTGTGGTAATAAGCATTGTGCATAAGTTTCATAACATTTGGTTGAGGCAAACTAAAGTTAGAGAACGGAAACCAATTTTGGGACGTACGGACAAGGGTAAAACTTAATGCCCCCTCCACAACAGCGGGGGCATAAAAATGATTGCTTGTTAATTTCTAAACACCAGTGGCAATAGACCACTTTCGAGTTTGTTGCATTTCCGTTAAAACTTTGGTTTTAGTGAACGTCTTTCCTGTGCTTAGGGGCATCGCTGCTTCCTTCCCATGTTGAGCGAGCGGTTGAAAAAAATATGATGCTACAGCTGTATATTGCATGAATTATTCGGCAAATTAAATTCTTATAATTGATAATGAGCACTGCTGTCATAAGGGAATTTTGATTAAGTACCTACAGAATAGTAACAATTATTTTTATTTTATCCTGCATACTGACAATCACCAAGACGCTTGATGAACTTTAATACTGCACAGATACAGGCGGTCCCCTCTATCTGGTATATGACGTCATAAAGGCGCACATAATTGACAAACTTTTCCTGTGAAGGACATAACTCGAAAGTGGTCTTTTATTTCATAAATATTCAGAAAGAATGAATTAGAATAAAGATATATCACAATAAAATTTACTACTGTTGACTTTTGGCATTCAGATCTAGAGCTAGTAGCAAAAAAGGAAAATCTAAATCAAAACAGAGATTTAAGAAAATAGTTTATACTAAATTTGGGTACAATCCACATTTCCAGATGCTGTACGATGATTCAAGACTTTTATTGACTAATCAAGGGCACTCAAGGGCTGTATACTCAAAATATAACCATTTCAAAAATGATTCTTTATGTGCCTGTTTAAAGTCAGTAGCCAGTAGTTCAGTAATTGTTGTTTGTACATGATTGTCATACTTGTTTTTTGTAACTTGTTTTGTTATAAATTAGGCCATTAGTTTTCATAATTGAATTGTTTCACAATTTTCATGCTGGCACCTGTTGATGCCAACTACAAAAATGTATACAGTATGAGTTTTTCTCATTGTTGAAGGCTATACTGTTGCCTATAATTGCTTACATCTATTTCATTTGGACTTTAGTGGATAGTTGTCTCATTGATAATCATACCACATCTCCTTATTTTCATATAGTCTAACAAATTATAAAAGAATCATTATTAGTGCACATCTAATTGTATAAAAGGCAAAAGATAAAATTTATAAATATCATGGAAAATTACAGACAATGTAGTTAATAATAGGATTAATTATCATGATTATAGCATAGACAATGTACATGTAAATGTAGTCAGACGGGAAGGCTCTCTAAAAAAAAATCACATATTTTAAGGGTTTGTTTATATCTTCCATAAGTCTTTTACCATTTAAATCTGATAGGACATGAAAAATTAGAAAAGGAAAGACATTCTTTGGTTACACAATCAAGAATTTTTTTTTAAGCTGATTAAAAAAGAACATTGTTAAAAAAGTAAGTTTTATCCAGTTTCATCCTCAATGTCATCTGAGAAATATGTCACATATATATATCCTTTCTTCACAAGGGACATGGTTTTCAATTTGTGTATCACCAAACTTCAACCTTATGGTTACAATGTACTTGTTCTGAAAATTGTATTATTTTTTTTTATTTTTCAAGTCTTGAATAAATTCCAGATATTTCTCGTGTTCAAATGAACATTTTAACTCCAAATACAATTGTATTTGCATAGTTTACCATTTTCAATGATCAACTTATATTGCATGACTAATGTCTTGTTTCTGCACATACTTTTTTGTGAAAATTGAACATTATTTTTTAAGTTTAAAGCTCACTGTGTGGGGATTGCATCTGTAAAAATCAGATTTTGAATATCAATATTTATCATAGTTAACACATGATGAAGATACGAGTACCAAATGTGTATTCCTTGGTCAGTTGCCTTTCATAGTTCACAAAATCCTGTTATCATTATGGATCTAATTTCATGATAAGGTCTTTTTAAATGATTTCATTTTGTATTTCTGTTTTATTATATAATCTATATTTGTGAGAGCAGTTATAACAACAACACTTTAGGGATTGCTGCAGTAATTTAATGAGATCGACAGGTTTTAGTACCTAAGTCTATATATTTAGTTATCTTCAAACATATTTTATGACATCTTGATGATTCTTAATAAATAGATTCTAATTTCACAACATGAATTTATCACTTGCTGCATCTATACTTTCTTGACAGTTGAAAAAAATCTTTTTTAAGCTTTTTGGGAGTATTTTTAATTCCCTGTTTTAGATTAGTTTTATAAAGATAAGCTAACTGACCTAAATGCCTTTGGTTCCTGGAAATGTTTCTCCAAATTGGTAAGTAGCTAAAGCCATGGAAACTAAGGGGGTTACAATATTGACAATAAGACAGTATCATATTCCAAGGATTTGTATACAAATCCTTGCATATTCCAAAACAAAATTTCAGAAAAAGTGGATCCAGTGTTACAAATGTATGTTAAGAGTTTTAGAAATTACCCCACACATATGTCCCAAAAGCACATCTTTAGGTTAGAGACTTTCATATTTTCTTGTCTATTTCGACTATTTTAAGTTTGATGTACAATGTAAAATGTTAAACAAGCAAGCAAATTAAAAAATATTAATATTAAAATAGTTGCAGATGATATCTACAATGTAATCTATGACCTTTATCATGTTTATATAAATAATTTATAGTGTAAAAAGCCTGATATTCAAAAACAGTTATAATGATATATGCTCAATTGTTGTATATAATGAGAATTCGCCAAGAGAGAATAACAATACCTTTTTTTCCTCAACTAAAAAAAATTAATAAAACTACATGTAATCCAAGAAAACAAAGTACCCAGAAATTTACTTTTTTGTTTGTTGTTTTTTTTAACATTTAAAGTGAATTTGACAATGTTTGAAGTCATTCTCTACTAATTTAAAAATATGGATAGTCTGAATGTAAGTGAAGTTGAAATCAAACTGTAGTAACTTGCAAAAATAAAGACTATTCTGGCCTGAAAATGTATTTTAGCATGCATGTTCCTATACACACAAATAAAACTCAGTACCAAATTTGGGGTATTGTTACCGAACTAATAACTCGATGTACAGGATGCATTTAGCAGGACAAATCACTTAGATGAAGTTTTGATTACAGTCCATATTGCCATTGAAATTGTAATTATAATTGTCCTCGGGTTGACTGCACGGTATGCAATGGTCATTTTCATGACATACTGACCTGGGGATACGTAGTCGTAAAAGCAAAACATTACTTTTTACACTGTGCAAATGTTTAAGCTAACAGATGATCGATTATATTTATGTTTATACGTACATCTTCAAATATAGACCCGACATTTGCTGTAACAAGCAGCATTCGGGGATAATTCCCGTCCATAATATTTCACTTCATCAATACGTTGCTCGTGCAAAGCAAGTTACTCAAATTGTTTGCATTGAAATTGTTGTTTTTCTACATCACATAAATTGTGCACTTTACAATTGGAACTATCTCATTGTTTGTATCTGCTCTAGATTTTTATTTCACGAAATGACACCTGTAAACAACGTTAAAATCCAATTCAATACACAAATAGTGTATTCCTGTTTCTCCATCGAGTACTGGCTCTCGATTGACGTCACTTCTCGTTAACAGCGCCATCTATAAATAATTCATCGTAATGTGCCGTAGGACTTCGTTAAATGGTGTACAAACGGTGGGAAATTCGATTTCTTTTTAGAATCAAAGGCTAACATTGTTAAAAAAAGATTGGGTGAATTAAAGACAGAGGCGGATTTAGGGGAGAGGGCAGGTGCCCGGCCCCCTTTTGTGAGCCTCCTCGTGTGGTTTTTGATTATGTGATTACTTGGCCGTTTTTATAGTATATTTCATGATTATTTGATAAACTAGGACTGTATTTTTGATTATATGATTATCCTGTTTAAAAAAAAAATTAATGATTATGTGATTATATTGGCAAAAAAAATGTGATTATGTGATTACATGGACACCCCCATGAGGGGCCTCTTTTGTGGGAAAAATTTAGTTGATATTTTAGGGACCACTGAAGCATGTCTGGAGCGGTCCCCCGGGATGAACAGCAGGGACTGACACTAGAAATTGATGGCTACTGAGGATGGATACTGGATAGACAGGAAATTTCCCACTAACCCATCAGAGTGTTGTTGCAGCTGTTCATTAACATGCAGAGAGTATGGAATTTGCCCTTCAAGAGACATGGGATTTAGAATTTGGTGAAATTATTAACTTCTTTTTAGCAGCAAAATCCCAAGCAGGATAGATAGTCTTATACTTATTCTACTTTAAATATTAAAACCCCTTTTTAGTAAAAAATTTGGAATTGCAATATTGCTGTATGAAAAAAAAGAGGTGAAACATCAAGGTTGGGCGGTAAATACCACCCCCGGTATTTACCAGTGGTATTTACCGGTATTTACCGCCCCGGTCAATACTCCTCAAGTGGTCAATACTGGCAAATACTGGACAATTGAAATTTGCATGGTTCTTTTGACAGATTTTACTATCAATGTTAGTTAAATCTTAGTTGATAGGGGAAATTATTTTAACTTTATTCATATGGCATGATTCAGTTTATAAAAAGGATTGATATTGGTATGTTTTATCAACTATTAGCATGAATAATGACTTATTCAGTTCTTATGGGTAATGATATAACATAGTTTAGGTATGATTATAAAATTGCTATATCAGTTATTTCAACATGTATAAAATATATATATTTTTTTCTTGAAAAGGTTTGATTTTAACAGGTAAATAGAATTACAGGTGACTAGATTATCAGGGCATTACCTATTAAATGGCAATCAGGTGTCAAAAGTTTATTCAGTATTACAACTGTCCCCTAATAAATGTTGACATAACAGGAAAAAAGTCATAAAAGTTATTTTTGAAGACTGTTTAATTTAAAACAATTATTTGATTCCTGACTATTCAACTGCATGATAAATATCTTCTAAAACTAAATCATGTAAATACAGAAAATGGAAATTTTGAAGGATCTATACTTTGGCTGCTGTTTTTTTTTCCTTCAATTTTATTCTAATAATCACTGTCCATGATGTGTTCATGTATAATTTCAATTTATATAAGAAAAGATAACATTAAAAAAGTCTAATTTTGACTTGAAAACTTTCATTAACAGTTATTGAATGTAGGGCTAAATATCACAGGACAGAAAGCCACAATGCAATTTTGAAAGAACTATTTCTTTGATTAAGAAAAGACTAATTTTTAAGACATTGTTTTATTACATTTGCTGAAATTACTGTTAAGAAAACAAGTCTTTTCTTGACTGGCTTCATGGTACCATTGAAGAAATATCCTTTGTAGGATTAATATTTAACAAATCTTCATTTACCCATGTTCATTATCAATCTCATAAACATTACAATGAATTCATTTCAAGGATTTTCCCTTACATATTCAAAAACTTGTTAACTAATTAATTGTGACCTTTTTGTCCTTTACAATGTAGTAAATAAGTGACTTTCTGTCCTGTGAATATATTTGTCCATTTACCCTGTAGTTGACCAGGTAGGGACTGTATTTAATAGTAATATCTTTATATCAAAATTTCAATTGACCAGTATTTGCCAGTATTGACCAGTATTTGCCACTATTTCCCGGTATTTACCGCCGGCCTGGTCAATACTAGTATTGACCGCTTTTTTGCCAACCTTGTGAAACATGTATGAATAATTCAAATGTTGTGAAAATCTTTTCATATATAAGTTCATCTTACTTTATGTAAACCAATGAACCAAGAAAATTCCAAAGAAAAAATCTTAGTTTTAAAATGCAACTCCATATTCAACTTTACAGGGTTTTCAATATTCATCATATTTTTTTTTTTGGCAAAAGAAGTTTTCATAAAAGTAAAAAAATGATACTATTCTGAATTGAATTCAAAATCACATAAATACTTAATGCTTCGTAGAAAATATTTTAGCCCTACTTGTCTTGTGCATGTTCTAAAAATTCATAATGTTGGGATAATTTCAGCTTATTTGGCGTAACCTGGGACCAATATTTATAAATTTAAGGTGTTAATTGATATGACATAATTTTCATTTTTCATACTGTACTAAAGTTTTTGTCATTCCGTGCAAACAATACTTATTTCATGGCATAAAAAGTGCCACAAGCCACAAATATATGATTATATGCTGCTTATTAAATATTTCGACTTAAGGTCGCACAACATTCAGCAAACATGATATTCTTCCAGCTTATATGTTATATGACTTAAAACAAAAAGAAATTTTCCCCATTCAGATTCAATTCAGCATTCGTCCTCAACATGCATGAAATATTTGCCACTGGACGTTGAGCAAACATCAACTACTCAATCAATTCAGCATACATATTTAATTAAATAGGAACAAAATTACTGCAGAAATTAATCCGAATGAAATATGACTTTTTTTCATTTCCCTCCATGAGTACAAGACTATAGTTGTTGGCCACTTTCAGCAACCTTAGCTATATAAGGCAGTCAGTCTATGGTTGGTGGAGGAAGATGGAACTAGTACCCGGAGAGAACCACCAATCTTCAGTAGAAAAACTCAGGCAATCCTTGTTAATCAAGATCTGAGTTGAACCCTCGCAATGACCAGGTTTCAGATTTGGATCAAAGTTGAAAGGCTAGTGACTGGTTCCATCAGATGTTAATTGGGATGGAACATATCATTATTCAATAGCCTTAATATGAACAAACAAAAATGTCTAAAATGCAAGCTCAACAGTTAAATACAACTCATAAAAGTGACCTAATATAATATAAGGGATCTTATGAATACTTCTGAGCATCATACATCAACATCATCATAAACTGTTAACACAGAGATATGTCTCGCCTTTTTGTTATTTTGCTAGTAAAATACAAATGTTGATATTTAAATAGCAAAACTTTAACATGCAAGTTATGCAAAATATTCAAAGTTAATGAACCATGACTGAAGGTACAGGGCCAAACATTCTCCATGGAAATACGATGTGCCAATGCTAATACAACATACCAAATATCATTGACCTACCACTGGTTGTAACCCATAAACTGACCTAATCACAAACTTATACATGTAAACTAAGCAAAAGTTTCAGTCATTAGACAATGACCGAGGGGACGGGGCCAAATAATCTCCATGGAAATGAGATGTGCCAATGCTGATAAAACTGCATACCAAATATCATTGACCTATCACTAGTAGTGGTTCCCCATAATCAGAAAGTAGGTACCTCACAGATCTGAAAAGCTCTCACATGTTATAACTCATCACTGTCAAGCTTTGACCAAAATGGTAGTCATCCTGTTCAGCAGTACCTGAAAAAAAAGTGACGGAAATATTTGCTGGACAAACGGGCAGACAGAGGGACAGACCAACAAGGTGAATGCAATATAGCCTTAACTCCTAGAGGAGGGATATAATACTAGGACAAAAAGTCATCATTGCTGATTTTCAATATAAACTTTTATTAAGAAATATTACAAAAAAAAAATAACGCTATGTTAATAAAATATCATGCTCTTACTCCAAATATTGAAAATTAAGAAACAATGTAATTATTTTTTTAAGTACTGGTAATCAAATTCGAAATACTTTACCCTCCTTCTAGATTCATCCAATCTTAATCCAATGGCAGGTTTTAGTAGTTTTATTGAAAATTGGTCATAAGAGATGACTACAATTAGATGAAAGAAGCACCTGCTGTTAGATTGAAACAGAATAAACCTTCACAAAGTCTTGTTCTATCTCTCTATCAAATATTCAAATCAGATGAATTTAAAATATAAAAAGAATTGAATATCCAAAAGATATCATTAAATTTCAAACCAATTACCCATACTGCCATTTCCTATAACTTAGTTTACAGTTTTTACTAAGCTCTACAAAATGGCAAATTTTGATTACATCTGATGTGCTCCTATTAATGTCCAATTAATTACCTTTCACCAAAGGAAGCTACCAGAATAAGGAGGTAAATAGGTGTATTCCCTCCCCCTTGCCATAAACTTCACCCTATTTAAGCTCCTCATTCATCACAACTGGATTTTGCTTTCTGTGTTGAAAGGTTTCACAAATGACATAGATACCCATAGAATAGAACATCACTGTGATGTTTAAAAAAAATGAGAGCTGATTTATTAAATTTTGACCCATGTCATATTCAAGTGTATATTCTTTGTTCATAGATTCAAGCCATAAAACAAATCAAAGAAAATTAGTAGCATCTCAAAATACTATCTTCCAATTCTAGATTTATCTTATCTAAACCAAATGACAGGTTAATTTTGGCAACTTGTTTGAGACCAGCTCTACAAAAAGTTGTAAGAAGTGCCTGCATGCTGTTTGGCTGAAAGAAAATAAACCTCCACAAAATATCTTTCTCTCCCTCACACACACCAGATGTATTAAGTTGTAAGAATAATCGATCCAATACAACTTATAAATTTCAGAAAATCCCATACTGCCATTTCCTAGAACTTAGTTTACAGTTTTTTCTTTTATCTTCTTTTTTTTTCTTTTTCTTTTGTTTACATTATTTCTTTACTAAGCTCTACAAAATGGCAAATTTTGATAACATCTGTGTCCCTTAAATATATTACATGTAAATAATACAAGTATGATAAATTAACTTTCATCATAGGAAGAAACCAGTATTAGGAGGTAAATAGGTTTATTCCCTCCCCTTAATTGCCATAACTTCAACCTATTAGCTCCTCATTCATCTTAGATTTCACTTCCCGTGTTGAAAACTAATAAAAAAATATATATATAAGTAATGGTACACTTAATATATTGCACAAGTGTGATAATTTAGATATAAAATGAAAATTTATGATCTAAATTTTTTAGTATGTATAAAAATACAATTTTCAATACACAATGTAATACTCATCCAAGATTTATCCAATTTAAGCAAATTGGCAGGTGCTTGATTATTCCAATACAAAAAGTTATAAAGAAGAACCTGCTGTTTTGCTGAAAAAAGAATAGACCTTTACATAGTCCTTCTTTCTCTCTTTCATACACTGCAATTCCTCTTAGATTAATCTTGTTTAAACCATAAATACAAACAAACAAAAAACTAGCAGTGACCGTCTATAGTCAAACAGCTCGTAAAAATGGAAACAATATTATGAGCTTTAAGGTTTAAACAGGATAAATCTTTACAAAGGAATATTCTAACTATCTCACATTTTAACAATGAATTTTGAAGAAAAAGAAAAACATTTTTAATCAAACATTGAAGATAAGCATGAGTGAGCTTTAAAATGAACAAATTTAATCTTCACAAAACCTAGCTGACTCTCTCTCTCTGCCTTTCACACATTTCATATTTTAAAATGATATTTGACTCTCTCTCCTCAATTTTATAATCAATAAATAAAAAAGTTCGTGTGTGTTGATGTCCTTCCTTCATTTTCACCTTTTTTTCAAAATATCCATAACTGGAAGCATCAAACATTACCTACAAATAGAATGATAAGTTTTATCACAAGGTTCTTAAAAATAAAAAGGAGAAACAGTTTTTCTGTGTCACAATATTTATTCTTCATAATCAGGTTAATCATTGACAGTTAGGATTATGTTTTGCTGCTATGTTCTTTATTTTTTATACCATTTTGTGTCCAAGATTGAATATCCGTTTACAATGCAAGCCAGGTGGCAAATATTGGTTTTAGAAGACGAAAAATTTTCAAATGGTAAAACTTGACCATTCTGTGGTTCTTGCATAAAAAAATGAATCTTGCAGTAAGATCCAAAGGTTATCTCAGCCCTATTTGCAAATCTGATTTGATGATGATATAATATTGTATTTATAAATTAGTCCTGAAGAAAAAAAAATCTAAAATTATCTCCCTTGAAATAATTTTCAGCAATGCATTTTCCCCCCTTTCCTCAGTATGATTGTGAGATGCACACATTTTTACATAAGTATATCTTCACGTTGAGTTATTAATGAAAAAAGATTCTCTGAGCAATGAGTCCAGACATGTGTCAGTTTTGAAGCTATAAAATATATAAACTGGTAGAAATAAGGGAAATAACTCATCTGAATGCTTTAACAAGGAAATTTTATACAGGAATACAACCGGTCTCTTAACAATGCATTTGTGTAGTGTTTTTGTCATAATGCTGACTTACCTAAACATCAGGTAAATTTATTCCCATTAAGTTTTCATCTATTAAAGGCACTTTGTGAATACCATGCAGGGCCAGCATTGAATGAAGCTGAAAAAATAAATTATCAAAATGTTTAACTGTCCTGAGATACTTATATTTCTTCAAATTCTAATTGGTAGCATTAGAATAATAAAATTAATTAGCATATTACTAATTTCTATTCTGGATTTTATTTTCTGTTAAAAGTTATCCAATCTGAGCAGCCACTTAAAATTCAGCCTTCATCAACTGCAAGTGTGTTCGAAAGATAATATTTGAAACAAGAACAATTTCCCAAGAATATCGCATCCATTATTCTTATTGGATTTTTTTCCTTATGCATTTTCTCAATATAGTAAAAATTATGAGAGTTCTAAGGTCCCAGCCGGATAGATGACTGGGTCTTATTGATGCATTGACCATTATAAATCAACCTTCTAAAGTATTTTTTTAAATTTAAGAAAAGATTACCTCATGTTTTGCATTGAACCACTTCAGATTTGAGGTAACAATCTCTTGAAAACTTCCTGTTTGCTATTTTCATCCTGAAAAAAACAAAAATAGAAAAAAATGCTTAAAAGTTAAAACAAATGATATAATTAAAAATGCATATAATCTAATTTTATTAATATTTAAAATTTAATTCCTATAACTTAACTTATTCACACTTCTCATTATCAGTGATTGAAAAGTGACTAAAGCTCTCAAAATCCTAGCTTAAACCCTGCTCATTATTATCATGAAATGGCACGTGACTTTTCTTTGCGTCTTTCTTTAATACTAAGATTGAATGGAAGCATCAAAAGTGAAAATTATGTCCTGAATGGATTTAAAAATAAAATGCTACTTACTGTTCTGTTGATGAAATGTTTCTCATTTTCAAGTCTACAGAATGTTTGACAGCAATGTATCTCAATTTCTGTTCCAAACTGATAATAAAAAGTAAGTTCATATATATATCTTAAAACACTAATCATTAATAGGTAAATGATCTCCGGTCCAATTCAACATCAAAATTATTTTTCTGCAAAAGACGATAAATTCACCCTGAATGGCAAGTTACAAATTAAACATAATTTCAATTCCTTGATATAGATTTAAATTTGAATATGTTCCAGTTTATAAAAGATTATAAACATCCTTAATTGTAATCATTTTTTGTTGTTACAGAATTTTGACTAAAAACCATGTTAGTTTTTACAAAATTTTATGTCCATTAGTTACTTCCTGTTAAAGATATAAGTAAACTTGACAGAGGGACAAAACAAAAACAATTGCTCTCTTTACATAAATTTTTTTTTTAACAAACCTGAGATAAAACAGGATATAATTTCCAAGTCCTGCAGTAACATTTTGTGTGATGTCAGCATCAGCCACATTGAATTGAACCTTTCTGTGTGATGTCAGCATCAGCAACATTGAATTGAACCTTTGTGTGTGATGTCCGCATCTGAAAAACAAAAGATGTAAATTAGTTACCTATAAATTCAGAAATTATTGCATGCATTTATTGATATTTTTGAAAAATGGCTGGAAAAATGACTCATTATTGCGATTTCAAAAAAAATGTGCATATATATTCATATATCAGAATGCAAGTTATTATTATTGCAATACTCAGTGTCACTATTCACATTTTGACAAAGAAAAACAATTATTTCTGAATTTACAGTAATCTAAAATCCATAGCCATATATATCAAACTCATTTTACTCCAAAAGAAAGTAAAATCCTCCCTGAATTCCCAATTTTTTCAATTAAAGTTATTCTTTGCAATAGATTTCAATATGCACCATTCACTTTTCTGTGTCTCAGAATTTTGACTGAAAATAATGTTAGTTTTTATACAATTTTATGTTACTGATATAAGTCTACAAGACAGTGCAACAAATCATAGCAGTTGCTCTCTTTACAATAAAATATTTATTAACAAACCCGAGGTAAAACAGTATCAATTTTCCAAGTCCTGCAGCAACATCGAATTAACCTTTTTGGTTAATCTTGGCATCTGATAAAGAATGGATTAACATTTGTAAATGAAACATACTTCACCACTGGCACATAATTTTTCATAATCCATTAAATGGCAAATCTAAAAAAAGATGACTAAATATGATATGCAAAAAGTTCAATTTAAATGTTTAAAAAATATTACTTTAATTTTGTCTGCTTTTTAACTTATCAGTTAGCAATGCATTACTGTGAATAATCTAATATAATTTAATCTCTTTAATGTTCACTCAGGTCTTTTGCTCTGGTAATGGAGATCTCTTGCTAGGATAACCATCTTTCATAATATTCCATTCCAACTCGTTGCAGCCAGTTGATGTTCACTTGCAAATATTTTATGCATATTCAGGACATAATTCCAGTAGGTACGTTTTGCAAAATTGTTAAACCGGGATAAAAGGTATAAGATTTAAACTACCATTGAAAAAAGGGGAAACTTGCAGGCAGAAATTTTGTCTTACAACTGGCAAGCTACATACCCCTCAGAGTTGTTGCCAGGGTTCTTTAATGTGCAGAGATCAATCTCCTACTTCACAATCAAATCGGATGCGACTGCTTAATATTCCCTTACAAAAAAAACAGATCCCCTTCAAATAAGATTTACCGCTGGATGGTAGAAGTCCAGATGACCACATACCCCACTGAACCCTTGGGTTTCCCAATTTGAATAAAATTTTATATTAATTAGGGGTTTGGGTATTGCCTCTAAATACCACCTCACCACAATTTATACTCTGTTGTAAAGTTTTCTTTTCTTCAATTTATTTTTCTTTTTAATGTATTCTAAATTTCTGCACATAAATGTTAGGTTGAAAACCTATCGAGGAATGCATGGACAATTCATTTTTCACTCACAGTTTTCTTTGTGTTATTTTATTCTCAGATTTGTTGTACTTTATTTATTGACCAATTAAAATATTATTTTATGATACTTATTAAAATTCTTTGAAGTTTTCCCTCCATCCCAAATAGAAACCACACTCGAATGGCACTAAAAATGAATATTTTACCCTTGCCTTACAAAGCTTCAAAGTCAGCTAGAACACAACCATTAGGTCCAAAAATAATAATACAAAATACAATAATAAATTGTGTGACCCTGTAAGAAAACTCTACCACTTGCACATAATTGTGTGGCCCTGTAAGAAAACTCTTACCACTTACACATAATTGTGTGGCCCTGTAAGAAAACTCTACCACTTGCACATAATTGTGTGACCCTGTAAGAAAACTCTACCAATTGCACATAATTGTGTGGCCCTGTAAGAAAACTCTATCTACCACTTGCACATAATTGTGTGACCCTGTAAGAAAATCTACCACTTGCACATAAATTGTGTGGCCCTGTAAGAAAACTCTTACCACTTGCACATAATTGCATTTTCCAAGAACTGCTGCACCATAAAATGACTAGCAGTGTTTTGTTTATATTAAAATTATTTTTTACTACTATTTAACTTATGAAATTTTGGATTTTTTTTTTATTTAGTTCTCTAAATAACATATTAAATGATAAAAGACAAATATGGACACTTAAGGATCTGGACTTTAGTAAATGAATAATATGCACTACATTGGTTATATAATTTTGAAATAATTACGAAAAAATTCAAATTGTTACTGAATCAAATGAGACCCCATAGAAAAACTTTTTAAAACTTAAAACATCATATAAATAAACTTCAGAAATACATAACTAAGAAACTCTATACAAACTATAGACAACATTTCAGCTATCAAATACATGTATATGAAACCATTCAAACCAGCAAATTAGTAAGAAAAAGAAAACACAACTCAGAAATGACCAATGAAGTTTATCCATACCAATGATAAAGAAAAAAAGTTAGGTCTGTTAGATTGGTGGTTAAATGTTAGTATAGAAATGGCTAGCAAGTAAGATGTATTTCTGAATTTATTATCTGATATTTATTTGTATTATCACATTTACCCTTGAATCAAAATATTTTTCTGTCAATTTATAATGTAGTACACATATTCCCCTTTATATAAGGTAATTAATTATGGCCATTAACACCAAAAAATATCGTGATTTTATTTAATTGCTTAATTATTCACAGTTAACAAATTATTACCTGACATCCAAATAGTTTTACATGTACCTGAAAACTGAAATCTTTTTTTCTTTATTTAAAGACACTTTTTTTTAAATTGTTGATTGTTGGAGACCATAATTTTTTTATGTTGATCTTCTTTTTTTTTGTGACGTTGGGTTGCTGTCTAATTGATCAATGATGTATGATGTATATCCACACAGCTTTTTTGTAGTTTAACAGGTTGTCTCAAATGCCAACTTTCAAAGCTGCAATTTCCCAAATATAAATGAGTATAAATCTCTAATCTATTTATAATCTTTTTTTTTAAAACCATTCATTTTGCTTTAGATGTCCTTGAATGAAAAAAAATTACAAAAAAAATGTAAGATCAACAATTTAATATATATGCTTCTATACAGATGCAAGCTAGCATACATCTGATACATTAAGAATATAAGCTGAAATAAATCTGATATGTTAAGGAGACAGGACGAAACACATCTGATACATACATACATATAATACATTAAGGAAAAAGTAACTACTAAATAGATTTAAATCCTTCCAAGAATGAAATTAAAAGTTCGGTTTGTAGATCCTGCAAAAAATACAAATATTTCATAAGTTATCTATGGGATATTTCTGCAGTCACATCCTCAAAATACCCAACTTGGTTCATTCTGAAATAAAAACAAATTGGAGGCCATCTGCAGTCACATCCTCAAGTAATGGTACTCTTTTACAAGCTCTGGGTAGGAGGCCTGTAATTACTGCAGGAACACAGTGGAACTGTCAACTACCCCATCCGGGTCATCTACAACAGAGCCATTTTCAAAGTGTATGACTTAGATCTCTTGGTCCATTCTGAAATAAAAACAAATTGGAGACCGTCTGCTGTTACATCCTCAAGAAATGGTACTCTTTTACAAGCTCTGGGTAGGAGGCCTGTAATTGCTGCAGGAACACAGTGGAACTGTCAACTACCCCGTCCGGGTTATCTACAACGGAGCCATACTCAAAGTGTATGACTTAAGATCTCTCGGTCCATTCTGAAATAAAAACAAATTGGAGACCCTCTGCTGTCACATCCTCAAGTAATGGTACTCTTTTACAAGCTCTGGGTAGGAGGCCTGTAATTGCTGCAGGAACACAGTGGAACTGTCAACTACCCCGTCCCGGTCATCTACAACGGAGCCATTCTTAAAGTGTATGACTTAAGATCTCTTGGTCCATTCTGAAATAAAAACAAATTGGAGGCCATCTGCAGTCACATCCTCAAGTAATGGTACTCTTTTACAAGCTCTGGGTAGGAGGCCTGTAATTGCTGCAGGAACACAGTGGAACTGTCAACTACCCCGTCCGGGTCATCTACAACAGAGCCATTCTCAAAGTGTATGACTTAGATCTCTTGGTCCATTCTGAAATAAAAACAAATTGGAGACCGTCTGCTGTTACATCCTCAAGTAATGGTACTCTTTTACAAGCTCTGGGTAAGAGGCCTGTAATTGCTGCAGGAACACAGTGGAACTGTCAACTACCCCGTCCGGGTCATCTACAACGGAGCCATTCTCAAAGTGTATGACTCTTGGTCCATTCTGAAATAAAAATTAATCTGATATGATAAAGATACAAGGTTGCATACATCTGATACATTAAGGATATAAGCTGTGCTAAATCTGATCTATTAAGGATACAGGCTGGCATACATCTGATACATTAAGGATACAGGCTGGCATACATCTTATTTAGTAAAGATACAGGCTGGCATAAATCTGATACATTAAGAATACAGGCTGGCATACATCTCATATAGTGAGGTTGCAGGCTGGTATACATCTGATATAGTAAGGTTACA